AATCCGTTTTCTTCAAAGAGTTAAGGGGTTGAGGATTGTATGTGCTAACATCAATCTTCTTCTTCTGTTTGTAATGTTGGACGATTGGACCATTATTTTTATTACAATATGGATTTAGCTTTGTAATTGTTTAGGATGCATTAATTCCGTGCTTGTTTATAAAAAAACTAGAAAAAAACTGGATTTTTACTGTTTTGTTGTGTTAACCAGAGTTTATTTGAAAAAAGTTAGTATGATTAGTTATTAGTGCGATTTTAAATTTGTATTAAAATAATATAAAAAATAAAATGATTAAAATTAATTTGATGTAAAAGTAGGAGATAAATAACTAGAAATGATAGGTATTTGAAAATATGTGAGTAGATGAATAATGAATTAAAATCGATGTGATGTGTAAGAATGTGAAGATAGTGGGGTTGCGTTAGATTTTGAATTGAAATAGATTTTTCTCTAGTTTTCTTTCTAGAAATTTGATAAACAAGCAAAGCCTAAGGGGCTGGGTTTGCTTGTTTTATTCTTGAATAGTGGAAAGTTAAGATTTTCTTTCAAGTCGTGAATCTGTACATGTAATCTCAAAGTCTCAAACATTGTTTATTCTTAGTGGCAATTTAATCTTGGGTTATGGATTATAATTGAGTTTATCTATATTAATAGTTCCGTTTTTGAAACTTTTGCCGATGTACAGGGCGAGCAGGCTTGCTCGTTTTATCTGCAAAAAGGTTACTGCAAGTTTGGACGTGCGTGCAAATTCGATCACCCGATGCCAACTGCAAGTTACAATCCAACATCTTCTTATACTGAAATGCCGGGTAAACTTGAACTCCCTGAAAACTACCGTTTATTTATTTATTTACCAAAACCTAATAGTTTTCGATGATGCAGGATAATTGCATTGCAAGGCCCTAACATGGATCCGGGCTCAACCGGGTCAGACTATCCGAAGATCCGTTTGATGGTTAAACGACAAACCGGGTCTTCAAGTCGAAGCTCAACGAAATAAAAAGATAAGGAAAGCTGATCTTCCATACTCTGATGTATATATGGTCACTTCTTTATTTCTTGAGGCCTGCAGTAAAACCTCATTCAGCATAAACATTTTTATGGTTGGTTAGATTTTTAATGAAAGGTATGTAACTCAAAATGTGAACTTATTTAAGTGTGCGAATTAGCCGAGATTCGTTGCAAGGGTATGGCTAAAATGCACAACCATGCCTCACTTATGAATCCTTGTTACTTAATACATTTGCGTCGTATTTATTCGGGAAAAATCGACCCTATGACAGTACGGAGTTTGTTATAGTTGGTTTCTTATAATTGGATCAAACCCACAACCATGTTGAGGTGTAAACGAGCTGAGCCATGCTCGAGCCCTTAACGATGTTTATTAATATTAACGAGCTGAGCTCGAGTCTTAACGAGTCGAATTATAGAAAAGTTACATAAAAGTCATCTTTTTGAGACTTATGAAGCCGAGTTGAGCTCGACTCTTTAATCAAACGAGCTTTACATGGGTTGGCTTGTTTATCAAACAAGTCGAGTCGAGCTTGAGTTGTGTTGTGCTTACGAGTGGCTCGTTTAATTTAACAACTTTGTGCCATGTGTTTGTGATTTTGTGACAAATTTTGCATTTATATATGTATAGTTATGTCATATGTGTAAATGATTACGTGTTTAGATTTATGTCTTGCATGTTTATCATGAAAGAAAATTATTATGTAAAAAAGTTGGGTACTTAACCTTGATTCTACATTTAAATTTCCAACCTCTCCGTTTTACTTCAATCACCTATATATAGTAAAATGTAGAGCTAATTAGAGAGGAAACTTGAGTTCAACTCTGAATAATCATTTCACTAGAATAGAGTTAAAGGGTGGACATGATCTAAGCCTGACTGAAAAATTCATTTTAAACTCATTTTGCAGCAAATATCACATCAAACTAATAATTATTTTCTGACAAAAAACTCATTCTCAATCTCAAAATATTATTGACAAATTATTCTCTTTCACATCAATTTTTACAACCTTTCAATACTAGCTATATATTTCATAACAAATCATTATAGATAATTAATAACGTTGATAATTCGTACAAAAAAGTACTAAGTAAAATATATTATTGTTTATCATTGTTTTACCTATTGTCTTTCTTCAAGTAATATCTTTCATGTGAGGGAATTAATTTAAAAATAAACAACACACTTACGAAAAACAAATCATAAATGGAAATAACAAATAATAAGAATTATATATGCCGTACTTGCAGACGAGCTCGTGTTCGTTCGAAAAGAGGTTTTTTTTCCTATCTGATTGCAACTTTTTGTTCGAACTCGAGGTGCTCGAACCCTTAACGAACCGAGTTGGAAACCGAGTCCACTCTTCTCGTTAGTAAACGAGCAAAAAAATCAAGTTTTAGCTTAGATCGAGTTTGAACCTTAACAAGTCGATCTCAAGCCTTAACGGGCCAAACTATAAAGAATCTTCTTTCAAGTCTTAACGAGCCTTATCGAGCCGAGCTTTAACCGAGCTCCGGCAGATTTCATTCAACAGCTCTAGAAAATCAAGATGGAGAATCAAGAAAATCAATGAGCTTTGATCCATGTAAGATGGAGAATCAAGAAAATCAATGATGTTAACCCATGGACAAAAATTAAAACAAATTTTAAGAATGTATACAATACCATAAACCCACGAGAGAGGGCCATAAAATCAATCCAAACAGATCAAATAGTTTCCTCAAAACAACCAACCAAAAAAAAACACACACACACACACAATCATTGTCACGAACACGAAACACAAACCCAAACCAACATAAATGCCATCCTATAAAGAAAACCAGAACACATGCACGTCTCATTTGCAGTCAAACTCGGGGCTTGATTTCTTCATGTGCTGAGCACCTTGGCAATCCTCTCGGTGGGCACGAGGGGAAGATGCGACGCCAGCCTGTAGCCTTTTCCGGCAGCCTCACGGACGGTATTGTTGTACCTGTTCGAGCAGTAGCTGGCTGTGGGACCCACAGCACGAACAACCTTAGGGAAGCCCGGAAGCTGGTTCAGTGAGTGCCAAGCTGAGGTGGCGTACTGCTCAGCCACGGGCTCGTATTTTGTGTAAATGTCCTTGGCAGCAGGCTCACACTTGGCGTATACGGTTTTTGCAGTCCCCAACACGCCGGTGCTCTTCACCTCGGCAACAACCGACTGGGCAGCCCCAAGGGCTTGGGCCGAAACCTCCTTCAGGGTCGGGGGCACACGGCTCTGAACTTTGACCACAGATTCATCAACCTGTATAATCACAATATATCGTGTTCTTTATCTCTGTTAGCTAAAAGCCCAGTTGGAATTTCATGAGTTCCACATTCAGTTACTAAAGTAGGAATTTAGAACACGCAATACTCGGTTTTCGAACGTGTAATACTCGATTCTTGTGTACTCAATCAGCAACAACAATAGCAATTGAGGCAATGGAATTTAAGTTTTATCCTTAGTTACAATCACTAGCCTCATCTCTACGTATCCATGAGAGAAAATCAAACCGAAAGGTAAAGGTGCCCACAACATATCACCAGAAAACAATCAACTGCATCCTCAATTCAAAAGAAACACACACATAGGCACAACATCACCCTTTAAAAAGGATAAACTACGTCCCCAATTCAGAAGAAATACAAAACGGCAATCAGATTTCATGAGAAACGATACCGAATCATCATGCTCAATAAACAAGTCGAAAAAATTGCATCAGAAAGAATACTAATCATCCTGTTCAATATCAAGTCAGAAAAGAAACGCATTAGAAAGAAGAAACCTATACACCAGGACAAGATCGACCGACGAACAAGACCACCAAACCTAACACATAAGGTTCAAGGACAAGGAGAACAATATACCTTGCGATCAACGAATTTGAGGACGTCAACAGGGACGCCGTGATACTTCTCGTAAACCGGACCGACGACGGCTCTCACGGTGCCCTCAACAGTGTCAACACCGGGCTTGAGTGGGCCCGATCTCTCCTTGGCGTAACCGTACAGCCTCGCGGCGAACATCACCGCGTGGAGAGCCGCGGCCTGCACGAACTCTAGGTACTTGAGCCTCTGCTCCTCCTCGCCGCCTTTCACCTGCATAGACGCGAAAACGAAATCAAATTAAATATATATATATATATATATATACACATCACATATTTTCAGATTCGAATCAAATAGCAGAGAATTCGTGTCGATTTCTTACCAGCAGGGGTTGCTGAGGGTTGGAATCTGTTTCGGCCATGATCGATTGCGATGAACAAGAAAAAATCGAGAGATTTTGCTGGATTGGGGATCAAAAAGGTGAAATAAAATGCAAATAGATGGTATTGAGATTTTGAGAGGAGATTAGTATATATAGGGCCTGAGGACTGAGGGCACGCGGGTAGAGGAAGGTGAGAAGGAAAGGTGTTGACTGCTTAAAGGTTAAGAAACAAACTAGGGCGGTTATGTAGAATAGGGGCAAGGAATGCGGGCGCGTGAGGGTGCACACGTGCACGCGCCGGACTTTCTCTAGAATTTTTTTAAAAAAAAAACAAAACAAAACTTTTGGTTTTTAAGCTTTAGTTCCATGATCAAAATCGAGTCAAAATTGAAAAATTGATTCGGACAGTGTAATTTGATCAGCGATTTGATTCGGACAAAGCATAAATTTTTTATTCGCTTTTTAAGTGTTGGGGTTGGATTTTTTTTTTTTTAAGTTTGGTTTTCAATTTTCTTCGATTTTTTTTCTTTTCTTTTCTTTTTTGGGGTTATGTACAAATCGAACTTAATTGTATAAAAAAATCGAAGAGAGCTGATTGAAAAATCAAGCGGAACAGCAAAATTCGGTAAGGTTCTTCACTTATTTTTATGTATATTATATTTTGTTCAATTTAAGTGTGATTTTTTATGTACTTTAATGTGATTTGATTTGAAATTTTCATAATTAATGTCGATCTTTCTATTTATGGACAATTTTAATGGCTACAACGAATACACCGTTCCTTACTTTTTAGAAAGTTTGCATTGGCTTGAAAGAAAAAATGTAAAACGTGACGAAAAAGTAAAACAAAATATTATATTACTAAAACATCGTATAATAAAATTGGCGAATTAGATATGGTGACTGATGTAGCAATTCTAAGTCAGTGATTGCAAATAGAAAGAAGATGGTAAACATCAAATCTATAATCTTCAGAGTGATCGTAAATGGAAAGAAGGTGGTAAAAATCAGTTGTAGAATGTTTAGAGCGAGAGCTTCAGTTATACCTCAACCCTTCATATACGGTCATTTTCGTGCTGTTCAAGAACCTTATCTCGTGTTAACTCAGATTCTTATCCTTATTGACCAAGCATTCTTGATACCAAGATTCGTTCTTATTTGACATGTTCACACTCATTCACATCTAATTGTGTTCAATATATGTTATTTGGTCATGTTCGTAGGCCCCTTGTGCATAGGTCGACTTTTTGTGGTCAGTAGGTCTCTTAAGTTATCAACTCGTGTGCATTCGAGTTGTCTTGAACCGGAAAGGTTAGACGATTTGTCTCAAGTAGGACCGAGCTAGGTAGCTCAGTCAACCTTTCAAAACAAGCCAGTTGTCTCAAGTATGATCGAACTAAGTAGCTCGATCAGCTCCAATCATATCCATCTGATTTAACCGACCTAGTTTAGCCCTAAACCGGCTAACCTACTCAATTTTGAGGTGTTAGTCTCAGACTCTCAGCTCAACCGAGCTAGGGCTAGCTATATCAAAGTTATAAATAAATTACAGCTAAACTTGATACCATGTTGGACAAAAGATGTTCAATGCTTAATAATATAAAGAGGGAATGAAAACCGGTCTTTGAGTGGTTTCACGGGCTATGCAATGACCAACCAAATGCACCATAAACATAATCTCATGTTCATCAAAAGCAAACCAAATGACGTATCAATTTCCATGAGATGCCTCACATTCAACACGTCCCTCGTCAAAACCCAACCCAGGCAACTACATTTTAGCCAGAAACAATCTAACGGGAGGCGGGCTCGACTTCTCCCGATAGATGTCCGTAAGCTCATGAACATCCGCCTTCATACTTCACCCCACACCTCTTCAAGAAATCCACCTCCGACAACTTCAACATCGAGCCAAGGCCCAAAGTCTTCTTCTTCAGCAATCCCCTCTCAACAAGATTCCCGACCACAAAACACCAGGGCCGTCTCCAGAAATTTGGAGGCCCTAGACAAGTTTTTCTTTTCGAATTCCCGATTTGAACTTGCGTGGTAATTAGGCTATTTGCAGATAGTATCATAGAAGAAAAAAACTTAATAAAAAAAGACTATTAAATAAATAAATAAATAATTGAAAAAAAAATTCTTGTTTTTCTAGACTTTGGAATTGATAAATTACTTATGAGTTACAAAGATCTTTAATAATTTACATTCAATCAGGCATTAGAAGAACAAGGAGAAAAAAATAAAAATCATATCACTATAAAGAATGTTTATTCTCACACAATTGTTCTAACCGAACATCATAAGAAAACAAATGAAATAGTTAGGGCCTCAAATTTTCACACAAAGTATATATTTTGTCATTAACCTATTCATTAATTAGCTCATTCATTTGTATAATGGGTCAAACTCATCACAAATACATAGTATTGAAAAAAAAAAAAAAATGAGGCTCCAAATTTAAGGGGAGGCCCTAGGCATGGGCCTAGGCTGCCTCCCCAAGGAGCCGGGCCTGCAAAACACCTCGGCCTTAGCTTCTTCTCGAGGCTCATGCCCATGAGCACTGGAAACCAAGCCAAATCCCCTGGCCCACAACCCAACTCGTTCACAAAAAAACTCATGTTGGACAAAAGAACAAATCACATGTTCATCAAAAGCAAACCAAATGTCCTAACAATAATCTCCAACAAATACCTCACATGCTACATTATCGCCGAAAACAATCTCACAAAAATAAACAAGATCCTATCTTGGAACAGTCTTTAATAACAAACATAAATGTCATATGATCTCAACAGTACAATCTTGGCCTACAGGATAACAATTATCTAATCTCATCCACCCTAACAAATGAGGCCTTAGTCTCCATATGCACAACTATTTATGCAAAGTTTGAGTTGACTTAAAAAGAATATGATAAAAAAATGAAAAAAGAAAGTGAAAATGGAAATTTTATTCTTACAACGACCTATAGTTAATTCATGAAGTCCTATGTTAGATCGGCCTAATCATAAGGCCAATGTATTCTTTCTACAATTATGCATATTTTATACACAAATGACGTACTATAAGAATAATAAATAAAAGGTATGACAATTCATAACATAAATATTCATTGTGAAAGTATCTATTTTCACCCTGAAATATAAGTGCACTGAGTTTTTCACCTTGTCGATTAATAAATTATGCTTTCACCCCCCCTCCCCCGACAAAAGCAAACCAAATGTCCTACCAATAATCTCCAACATATACCTCACATGCTACATTTTCGCCGAAAACAACCTCACGGGTGGCGGGCTCGACTTCCCCCGATAGATGTCCAAAAGCTCGGGAACATCCGCCTCATACTTCACCACGTACCTCTTCAAGAAATCCACCTCCGACATTTTCAACATCGAGCTCAACCCCAAACTCTTCCCCTTCACCAATCCCCTCTCCACAAGAATCCCGACCACAAGACACCTCGGCCTTAGCCTCCTCTCGAGGCTCATGGTCACGAGCACCGGGCTCCGAGCCACGTCTCCCGGCCCGAAACCAAGCTCGTTCTCAAGAAAACTCATGTTGGCGACTATTTTCTCCTCCGACACGTTCATGCAGTTGGGGAAACTGCGGATGGCGCACGCCACGTCAGCCTCCGACCACCCGCATTTCTTGAAAACCTCCACCTTGCGCTCGAGATTAGATTCGCCCAAGTCCACGAAAACCCCGATGACATTGGCGAAACCGCTAGTCGAGACGTCGAAACCCAATGCAACCGCTCTGTCGACATATCGTTCGAGCCTTTTCTTGGAGACGAGAAGGGTTGGCGGATGGGTGATCATGTAGACGATGGACGATAACGGGACCCCGCGCTCCGTCAGCATGGATATGTTTGACGGGATCCCGTCCGAGTAGCACCGCCCGAACGTGCAAGGGCCGAGCGAGAAAACACGGGCGACTCTCTCGTCCGATTTCAAGATTCCTTTGAGGTAGTTGTAGGAAGGGATGATAAATCGTTCGAGGCTGCGGGTTAAGACGGAGGGCTCTCGGGAGAGGTTCCGGGCCAGGATGGGTAGAGCGACGCCGATCGACCGGAGGAATTCGAGCTTTGGGGCGAGGGTTTTCTCCGGGCAGGACGAGAGGACTTTGGGCCAACCGGTGATGAGTTTTGTGATGTGGGCGTTAGTGAATCCGTATTGTCGGAGGAGGTTCAGGACGGCGTCTGGATTTTCCGGCGAGTCTAAGCGGATTTTTGTGGAGGCGGCGGCGGCCGGGGACAACCCGCATTTGTTGATGAGGTAGGAGACGGTGAAGGATTTGTCTGAGGCATTTTCGCAAACAGTTGGTGGGCTGTTCGCGGTGGAGAATTGCCGGGCCAATATGGCTTTTTGGAGGACCCGAAAATGGTGGGGAGAGAAAATGGAGTCTTTTGGAGCGACATTGAGTCGTCTCCGAGAGAAAACTGCGAGCATTTATGTACAGAGAGATAGCGGCAAAACCATGAAAATCAGCTGGAAGTATAAAGCCGGTTAATGTGAACTGTGGAGTGTGAAAATAATGCGTTTTTTGTTGCCCTGCGTTTGACTGCATATTTATGGAGAAAAATGTCAAAATAAATTACGAATAGTTTTTGTCCATATTATGCTAGCCAAGAAATGTCAAAACTACGAATAGAGCTTTAGTCTAGTATACTGTTAGTGTTGTATTAGTTGCAATGTTGTATTTTGTGCTTTTTCTGTCTTGTAGGGTGTGCCTTTGTTCTTTTATTTGGGAGTTGTTGTTCTCCCTTTGGGAGTTTTTGTTCTTCACTTGTGGGAGGTTAGTATTTTTTCTTTATGACTTTATGTGGGTGAGTTGTGGTCTTTAGGCTCCCTTTGGGATGTCCTCTCAATTCGGCCATTGGCCGCCGACTTCGGCTGCTTTGGTCGTTATTTGTATTGTTTCTTGTTTGTGTGATACATAAGATATTCTATCGTTGGAAAAAAAAAAAAATACAAAATAGTTAATAGGTTATGATAGAATGGAATTTAGTAGAAACTGAATGGGGTCGATAATGTAATGCAAAATGAATTAAACAAGTTTGATCATAAACATGTTTAATATGCTAAAATGAATGAGATTTGAATGGGATAGTATTATTATCACTATGTTAAAAGAAATATTTTTATATAGAATTTGTATGAATAATAAATTAAAAAAATAATTGTTTTATTTATTTATTTTAATGTTAAAATAAATAGTTTTAAATTGTAACTAATCGTAATTTATATTGTATTTGTATATTTATTTTAATTGTTACTTATTCGTTTTGATATTTGAAAATTCATATATGTTAGCTAGCTAGCTGGCGACAACAAGAAGTTAATCGGAGAGTGGAGGTTATAAAAACTAATAGTATGTGATCTTGTGCATTTGCACCTATATAGATAAAACATTATAAGTTATTCATATGCATATAATATTAAATTGTAAGTTAGATAATGATATTAAATTATAAACATAGAGTATTATAAGCTATATTTATGCATATAATATTAAAATTTTTAAATATATTGCATGACCATTGTGGAGGAGGGTTTTATTCATGGGATTTGATTTTTCAAAATATCCAAAAAATATTTTTTATTATTGTATGATTGCAATAAAAAATAGAGATATTTGTAGTCATTCTTAATTAGTTGTGAAGTATGTAATTATATAATACCAAATATATATAGTATCAGAATAAAAACAAAAATATTTTGTATTTAATGACGTAAAAGACATTACAGAAATAAACACCATTTAAAAATGGGACATGTCAATATAAATCGTGTAACTGAAAGTTACATATTTTTATTAAATGAACACCTATTTTGATTTTATTATCGAAGAGGCTATTCATTGGCATGTTTTCTTGGAAAAATTGGCAAATTTTGACTTAGTTGAAAAAATCAGAAACAACATGAGAAAAACGTTGAAAGTAAGAAACAACTTACTTTTTGCCATTTGATGAATGATATCATGTATGACTTTTATTGATTATAATTACTGTCTTTTTATTTTTCTTGATATACTGTGTAGTTTGTATCTTTAAATTAAAATGAACTAGTACGACACCCGTGTACTACACGGGTTGTTTGAAAAGAAATATAAAACAATAAATAATAGAAAAAATACCTATTGTCGTATAAAAGTGCAAAAATAGAAAACAAAAATATTCAGACTCTATATAATTTGACAAATTAATGAAAACCCAAAGTAATATTTTATATTAAATTAAATTATTTTAGTTTAAAAAAATTATTATTTTTTACATATGCTTCCTAATTCAACACCCGTGTATTTACATGTGTATTTGGTTTAAATATTTTTTTTCAGGCTTGTTGGATTAATGAAAAGGAAATTGACTGTTGAGATAAATGCAAAACAAAAGATTATATTTGATCATCTTGTATATCTACAGGGGAAAACAAATCTAACTCTATAAGCATAACCAGTCATACCAAATTAAGGATTTTCTAGAAATTTCTTAAACATAACGCAGAGGATAAAATGCATTGTTGACATAGCCAGAACCAACACAAACACATTACAATTCAAGGGGAGGCAATAATAATAATTTATTTATATATATATATATATATGACAATAATTGATGTAATAAAATAACTCGAATTATAATACCTATAGCTCATATGATAATAATCAGAAGGGGCATACGAAGGATAAGGTGCTGAATTGAAACCACCGTGTAACTTTTTTGTCTAAGACACAAATCTCCATTACAACACGATTTTCAGGTGGTTCTTGTCATGTTTGAACCATAACGCTCAATTGTGTTGAAAACAGTTGTCATGGTAAATTCAATTTCTGTAAGATGAATAATTGAGATGAAGGGGCTATGAGAATGAAGGGGGATGGTGATTTAAATAATGTAGAGAACTTTGTCAAACCGATTTCGAATTAAGCAAAATACACGACATAATAGGATTCTTAACATTTGAAACACTTTATCCTACACGGCTCATATAATAGTAGGATTAAGCAAAATACACGGCATTTCAAATTTATTATACACGACATTATAAGAATAAGAAATATGCAACAACCTTTAAAGTTCGATTTTTTTATTTTTTTTTTATATATTTAAACAGGCGGTGATAGTTTAGATCCGTGTATTACATATGTGAATTTTGGATAAGAATAAGTGATTAAAAAAAACTTTTGAAGGAATTAAAATAAACTATGATAAGAATGAGAATCCTATTTGGACGAGATAAGAATAAGAATCCTATTTGGAGTTGGGGTCCTATTTATTTTGGAATATAATTGTATTATTTTTATCCGAATTAAAAGTCGAAACATGTAATGTTGCCAAGTAAGCTTCCGAAGCGTGCGAACCAGCCATTTAGGCTTAGCACGTTTTGAAATTATATTAAGGAGGGATATGCGTTATATTAATTAAATTTTCTACCTTATAATATATAACTACATTAAACATAAATATATTAATTGATAAATAATTTTATTTTCGAATTAATTTTAATAAATAATTCTATTATTATTATAAAGATAAATATAATTTATTTATTTTATATATACAATATGGATGTCAAATCGAAGCTCATCAAAAGATGATTAATTTGATATATTATATATGTAAAACCAATAAGAAATACAAAAGTTATCAACTTTTAAAATATATTTGCAATTCAATGGTAATAATAGTAAATGATATTGAAATACAATTAATACAAATATTAATTTATATCCAAGCCCAACTCCAAAGCATAATTTTTTGTCAAATAGGATTCTGAAGCATGAGAGTTTGCCACGTAGGCTCAGCGCATTCTGAAATTATATATAAAGGGAATTATTTGACGTATTATTTATAATAATCACTGTATCTATTTCTTTTTCATCCTGAGGTGCTACTTGTAATTCAAGGGTCATCAAAATAAACACTAAATTACAACAGAATTGCTAAATAATAATAGGAGTTACAAATCACCAGTTAAATTTATTTCTATTATCTATAATTTTCTGAGTTCAGAAAACAAAGCTCAATAAGTGAACACTAGATTCCAGTCAATATGGTTCTAATTACTTAATTTGATTTTCAACCTTATTTAGGGCATACAAAATTGACTTTTAGTTTATGTCAACTGTGGAGAATAATTGGCCACAATCGGTAAGGATGATTATATGATTGGCTTTATAATTTGTAAATTGACATATCAAAAGAGCTCCTCGAGCTATAAAATGGGGTGGATTCTCAACCACTATTGGAATAAAACAACATATTCTACATAAATGACAAATTTTATATGGGTCCTTGTTTGATTATAATTATATACAACAAAGTTTGGTACTTAGTTATTTATTATATTTTTTTTGTAACAATGGGTTGCTACTAAATTTTCTAGGGGACCAAATTCCCAGAAATGGACTTCATTCATCTTTTATGTAAACAGTTTCAGTTAATAAAAAATATTGTTTTTCTAAAAACAAGAAAATTTTGTTTCATCTGGAAAAATGAGATTAAAACATGCAATTTTTTATTTTTACAAAGAATGATAACATTTTGAAAATTATGAACTAATACTAAAAGATAAAAATGTAATGATTAAAATTAATGTGATATAAAAATAGTAAATATGGATAGATAAAATTGATAGGTAGAGATACATGACTAGATGAATAGTATTTTTTGTTGAAAAATATATAATAATGATTGAGTTTTTATTTATTAATTTTATTAGTGAGACTAGTAGATGGAGAGTGAAAAAAAAAAGTCAATATGAAATTGTTTTAGGGAGATAAATATATATCACTTGTGTATAATACACTAGTATATATTGTACTGCTTCTAGTATATATATTTATTTATAGGCAGGAAATCAGCTAAACAATGCTCATATATATCCCCTCTATATATAATTTCATAATGCGCTGAGCCTATGTGACAAATTTTCATACTTCGGAATCCTATTTGGCAAAAAATTATGCTTTGGAGTTATGTTTGAATATAAATTTTTATATTACTTGTATTTTAATATCATTTCCTATTATAACCATTGAATTGAAAATATATTTTAAAAGTTGATAACTTTTGTATTTTCTTATCGGTTTTACATATATAATATATCAAATTAATGATCTTTTGATGAGCTTCGATTTGACATCCATATTGTATATATAAAATAAATAAATTATATTTATCTTTATAATAATAAAATAATTATTTATTAATATTAATTAGAAAATAAAATTATTATCAATTAATATATTTATGTTATTATATTATAAAGTAACTAGTGCGTAGCCTGTGCGATGTACGGGTAAACAATATGACTTTCATAGCATGTAAAATTGTATTATCACACGTGCATAATAAAATCTACATCTTAAGTTCATATTTTATGTTTTTTAATGGAATAAAATCCTTCATTTTAGGGATCATATGTATTTAATATGTCCAAATTTATCT